TTGGAGAAGGGTACCTCTGAAGGCCCTCTTAAAATCTTTGAAAGCCAGAAAGAGTGAAGAAGCTTGATAGACGTTACTATAAAATTTTTGAAACTAATCACATTTCCTTATAGGCATATAAAATTTCTGGAAGCTCACCAGGATTCACTGTGCCAAAATTTTAAGATCAAATAAATACGTTTCCCATTGTTTAACCTGTGCTTCACGTATCTTTTTGTTACGTTCTTTTGGCTGGTTTAGTTTAATGCCTTACTTTTCAGTACCCCTCTAATGCAAACAGGCTATCAACCAGGCACGTAGCCAGGATTTTGGTTCGGGGGGGGGGGGGGGGGGGGGGCAGGAGGAGGAGGAGGAGGGGGGGGGGGAGGGCCGCCCATGACGAAATGCTGTATGAGGGTGAGGGGGGAGAGGAGGTTCCAGCAAAATGAATGATTTTGGGGGGGGGGGGGGGGGGGCGGGCCCCATGGGCCTCCCCCCTGGCTACGTGCCTGCTATCAACAGTTACACAAAACACAAACACTGAAGATCCCTATGATCTACCTTGTATACAGGCTGTCTACCAACCTGGCAAACAGAAAACCTGTAATTTTCAGCGAATTTGGCGAGTTTGAAAAGTCGGGGAATATACACCTCGCAGTCCGGGAAATTGAGCTTTTCTTTCCCTGAGCGACCGAAAATCACGCGCGTGTGGTGTGGCATAATTGCATGAAACTCGGCTGGCGTGCCGACGCAAATCTGTGCAACTCCAATCGCATTCTCTTGAAACGCTCGCACTATAGCTTCTATCCTTGTGCTCGTACTAAGATGAGGTGCTCTCCTTGTGCTCGCGCTAAAGGATTTATTTTGGGTGAAATATCAAAGAATAGACTGACAAGGTAGTATGATATAGTGGTTGGCCAACGCTTTGTTGGCCGCCAGATATACCAGTGTTTTTCACATATAAACAGTGCTTAAGGGTCCAGATACATCCTCCCCCTGGAACCCAGCAGGGAATTATGATAGATTAGGGGAAACCTGAAAAAGTCGTAGAATTTGAAAGTGTCATATTGGTAGACATCCTAATGTAGTGCCTGGAGGAAGCTGATTAAGTACACTGCGCGAACACGCGATCGCTGTGTTTTTTTTGTGTGTTTTTTTTTTGTTTTGTCCCTTTTAAAGCCTAAGGGCTGTCTTCAAAACTAGTAGTTTGGTGGAAAATGGTTTTTGGGGCGCATTAACCTAAGCATTCATATTTTATACCCACAAACTTCCGTATAAAGTATTAGTTCTTTGTTGTTGTTTTTTACTTGCGAATAAATATGTAAAAAAAGCAATAGTGATTAAAATATTTTAATATACGCTAATAGTAGCTATGTACTCTGACTACCTTTTTACATAATCACTGTAATGTTTAAGGCTGTTATTATGACGGGGTGCAAACTTTTCGATGCCCTCCCACAAGGAGGCTTCCGCCAGGGTTGTCAGCCCTTCCAAAAAACTGAGTAAACAAGACAATAGTGCTTAAAAATATCTTTTTACGCACAGAATGTAGATACATACTCGAGATACTCCTACAAATATTAACCACATAGAAGTCATTATGACGTTGCACGAGCTTTTGTATGCTTCTTCCCTTTCGTATGCCCTCCCCTTTTAGTTGTAAAGTGGGGTGCATACGAAAGCTTGTGCAATATCATAATGGCTGCATAAATATATGCCATGATTATGTGGTAAAGTGGCTAGAGCATGTATCTGCAATCTGCATACGCAAATATTTTAATCGCTCCTTTCTTCTTCACACAATTTGTCGCAAGTCGAAAAAAAAAACAGCCCTGGTACGAAAAATTACTGACGTAGCCGTGCTCACAGTGTCCTGGAGTTTACATAGAGCAACATATTGTGTCTGAGGTGGCATAGAACGATCCGATGCGCTCACTGCAAACAGCCGCCTGTTAAATGACCTAATGTAGCAACGAGGCATGTCCTTCTCTCATGATGTCAAATGCACAAATATAGCATCGTATGTGAAAAACCGTACTATTTATTTCTTGCTTCTCACGTATTCTTGAAGCTTTTAGATAACCCCGTGCTATAGGTGCAAGAAAAGTTCTAGCTGTAGATATAATTCAGCTTCATTCATTTTTAGCGTCACTAGCGCCGTCCTCAACACTTAAATGCATACTATGCTTGCTGCCGACTGCATCACTATATTGGAAACATATGTTCAAGGCTTTGTGAATGACGTTAGTAACCCTAAAAGAATGGTTTATTTTGTATCGAATAAGGTTCGTAGCGGTGAACTATTCTGTAATCAACCCAGATAAAAAAGTATCTAATGTGACCCAAATAAAAAGTCTTCGAGGTGACCCAGGTAAAAAATATCTGGGGTGACCCATATAAAAGATTTTCAAGGTGACCCAGATAAAAGTTCTCCAAGGTGACCCATATAAAAGTTCTCCAAGGTGACCCAGATAAAAGTTCTCCAAGGTAACCCAGATAAAACATTTTCAAGCGGACCCAGATATATTCGTCACAAATATATCCACCACGAATTTGCAAAAAAGTGGTGGATAAATAGCGGATACATCCGCTACCGGGTTTAGAGTGTAGTATTTGGTTGAACTTTCCTCCGAAAATACCAGCAAAAAGACTAAGAAAAGTGGGAGTACAAGCTTGGAGAATGTATAAACTTCAAGTAAAGTGCAATTTTTCTAGACGCACTTCAAGTAGTACTTCAATGAACAGTGTGTCACAAAAAAACAAATGTTCAAGGTTTTTTTCAGCGCAAAAATAAACTACATATCGCCGAACGCTCATTCTCCGTCCAAAGCTAGCGCTAGAGGTCACAACCAGAGGCCTACGCTTCAGCCCGATCCGATAACTTAATCAAAAGTTATAAGTGATTTTCTGAAAAGTTCAATGGGAAAATGGAGCCCATTTCTGCCCGTTTTCGGTTTCTGGTGCCCATAGAGCCCCATGTATTTGAAAACTCCGTCGGCCGCCATTTTCCCATTGATATGTTTAGAAAATCATAACTTTTGATTAAGTTATCGGATCGAGCTGAAACTTTGGCATCTGTTTGTGACCTCTATCGCTACCTTCTGGGCAAAGAATGAACGTTCGGCGACGCCTGGTCTATTTTTGCAACAAAAAAGACCGTGTATTTTTTTTTTTTTTTTTTTTGACACTTTCTACTTAAAGTACTTCCGAACAGTGCTTCTTTCCCTCGGGACCACCGATAACTGCGCTCACAATTTGCCGCTTACTGGCTCCACCCCCCCCCCCCCCCCCCCCCTTTTTCGGCCCTATGCAGTCAGCTGTCCCCCAAACACCACCAAGGTCATGGATGGATGGATGAATCCGGCTGAGCCCTTTGGATCGGGCGGTAGCTTATGCCACCTAGCCATTTTGTTTTACCATTTAAGCTTAGAATATTTAAATGTGAAAACTATATTCACTCGGTACTGAAAAGAAAGTGAGGCTATAAAACCCTTTGCCATTAGTTAATAAGAAAATACCTAGTTTTCTCTCGCTTTCTGCCACCATTCACTTATCTTTGCTTGGTAATCTCTACTATCTTGAAATTAACGTTTCCTTCGCTGTCTCTAAAACACAATGACTTTATTAAATCTATGTTGTCTTCGGTAGGCATAGGGTGAAGCCCTTTACAGTACAGTAACAAGTGCTCAACCGTCTCGTCCCCCTCTCTACAAGCAGCGCACACTGTATCCATTTCCTGGTACTTCGCTCTGTATGTTCTGGTCAACACCTTCTAGATAGCTTTCAAGCCTGCGCGTCACGTGACATGACGTCACGTCTCGGAGGCCTGCACGGGCGCTCATTGGATGCGAATGCCGCGTCAGCGTTTGCGTGGGACTATGATAGTAAACGAGTCCCACGCGTACGCTGACGCGGCACTCGCATTCAATCAGCTCCCGCGCAAACCTCCGGGACGTGACGAGATGTCACGTGACGCACAGGCTTGATAGCTATCTAGGAGGTGTTGTTCTGGTTCGCAAAACACCTGCCCTTGCCTCAAACAACAATGAGCTTCCCTTAGAATTTTCATAAATGATTTCTTTGACAATAACTGTTTTGTTTAATCTAGCTTTCCAGAGCCGTCTTTGTCTGCATTTCCTCTAGCCACCGATCTCTTTCTGTGGGCTTAACTTTCTTCTTAACTGAAACCTGCTTTTCCGTTACTCCACTACAGCCTAAAAACTTTCCTCTTAATTTCCTAGTGTGCTGTCTCCACTTTGTGTCTATACCCCTCATGTATAAATAGCTGAAAACCTTTGGTGCCCATTGCTCCCCATCCGTTTGCCTCAACCGATCCTCAAATTCTATCTTGCTCACAGCTTCCCTGCCCTCAAGTGACGCCCATCTCATGTCTCCTTGTGCTCCCTGGTTCGGGGTTTTGCAATATGCCCCCAAAGCCAGCCTACCTACTCCGCGCTGCTTTATTTCTAGCCTTGCATGCACTTTGAATTTCATGCATTGCACTGCGTTTCCAAAAGTCAAGGCAGGCACCATGACCCCTTTCCAAATCTCTCTCACCACCTCATTCATACCTGTTGTAATTCCAATGTGCTATATTTTTCATTATAGCTGCATTTATGTTGCCCTTACCTATTATATACTTTTCATTCTCACTGAGACATTCTGCACCATCACATATCCATACTCCTAAATACTTGTATTTACTAGCTCTCTCAACTGTAATATTCTGTCTCTTCAGAATCTCAACTTCATCATTGTTAAAAATCATGACTGCTGATTTTTTACTACTGAATTCGAAACCTAATTCCCCTCCTTCCCTACCACAGATGCTCATTGATTCCTGCAAATCTATCCTATTGTTAGCCATTAGCACGATATCATCCGCATACATCAATGCCGGTAAGGACTGCTGAATTTTTTGGCCTAGCTTACTGCACGAAAGGTCGAATCCAATCCAAGCCCACTCTTCTCTAGTCTATCCTCAGATACGACATAAACAGCAAAAGCGATAACGGGCACCCGTGCATCACTAGCGACAGCAGCGCTTTCGTTCTCATACCGGTGCTCGTAGACCCTAATCAGCCGGCTGTCCGCACGAAAGCGTCACCGTCTCTCCGTCGCTCCCTCCTGCTCCTCCATCGCTGGTTCATGGCGGAGACATCGGCTTCGCTTCGGCATTGAGCTGTTCTGGTGAGTCCTCGTTTCATCGGCGGTATCGCCGCAGCTCTCAACGTCCACGCCAGAGTTTCAAATCACACCACGCGGCAACGAAAACCTTCGGCATCGTCGCAGACGCTGTGCCGTACCACCCCGCGGGCGTGTGTATGAGCCGCGAGCATTTCGCCAGTGCAGTCGCCGAGCCGACGAGGGTGTGTTGGTGCCCTGCCGTCTCCGTTCAACAAAACTCGCCTCCTCGGGAGCTAAGCCTAGTCGAGAACGCGAAATTTCGGCTTTTAAAACGAGTTTGACGAATACGCGAGAACAACGAACGCGTTCGGCGAGGGCGCGGCGGCGTGATGCGGCGGCAGCCAGCAGCCGAGCACTGCTGTGCGGACGGCGGCCGCTGCGGATTGGGCTTGGCTCGGTACGGTCCGTACTACGTTCCGAGAATGCGTTCCATCATGATGCGGCGTGCCTCGACGTTGTTTAAATGACGGTCCGTCGATGTATCCGGCCTTCTCCAGTCGACGTGACCGAGGGCCCGAAAAGCTTAGCGGGGCTGCGGGTAGGGGAGGGGTGGGGGGCGAGGTCTCGAATTCCTTCGGGAGGCGTCTCGTTCGGGGTGGAGGGGCGAGCACGGAAGACCGCGAGTAATCCAATACGACGCGCTCCGATGTTCCGTCCACGGTGGCTCTTGACCGTCCTCGGTAAGGCGTTCTGAAGCGCTTCTTAGATATCGCCGCGCCGCAGTGTGCATGCCTGGGGGAGCGCACTGCACGGGTCGCTAACCCGACGAGGGAATACACGTCGCCGGTGCATCTTCCAGATAACACGGTGGCCGGTATCGCGCGTGCGTTCTGCGGTGCCGTTCGTTTATTACGTGAGGTTGAGACCCGTTGTCAGCGGGCTCTGGTCGCCAGTTGGGGTCGTCGCGAGTCCACATGGTGGAACCGGCGCTCTTGAAAAAAGAAAACTCGCCGGCTGGCGACGAGCGGGGCGCGTGCCCTGTTTTTTCTAAGCGGTGCGTTGGTGGTCAGCTCCTTTGCGTAGGCGTGAGCCGACCCCCCGGTAAGATGGGGTCACGGATGTGGCTCTAGCGCGCACAAAAGCCTCAAAAACGGGCAGGGATTTTTATGTTTTTTTGTTATTTTGATTTGTTGGTTGGTTCTTATCTGTTGGTTCGAATGAATGTACGGGCTCTCGTGCAGGCGTTCAGGTCGTATTGCAACTGTCCGCGACATCTGTGTTGTTTCTGCGAGTCGGGTGGGCGGCGAAGAGGCTATCCCCCGCTTTGTTTTTGTAGCGCTCCGACTGGTCTAGAAAAGGAAGGAGAGTGTTACACCGTTTTGCCAGACACCAAAACAAGGACTGACGCTAGCGTTGATAGGGAGATTTCCTGTGCGAGTAAGTTGACCGTTTGCTGCACGGAGAGGTTCCCCTCCGCACAGCATTCTGAAGGGCCCGTGAGAATCGGGGTGGGGGGCTACCCTTTGCTCCGCTCCTTGGGAGGCGCGCTTTTATCTGCGCCGCTCGCGTCCGAAATGCCGGGACGAATCGCGAACCAACGCCCTGGCAGAAAATGCTCGCTTTAGGGCTTTGTCGTGAGAAGAGCTGGGTGCTACAGACCTGCACGGTCGTTTTCGCGAATGTCGTCGTTTTTGTTTACGCTGTCGTCATTAAGCGCGAGCGGATGGTCGTGTACGTCTTCAACACCGTGCATGCTTCAGCCAACACCAACGCTTCAGTTTCTCTCAATACGAATCACGGAGTCAAATGGCCAGAAACAACAAGAAACAAAAAAATCAAAGGAAGACACTGTATGCAATATGGCCCTAGTTGAGAGCAACGATAGTAAAGCACTGAAAAAGCTTAGACGGTGGAGCCATGATGTATATGGGAGCGAAAACCGCCATATATACAGTTCCGGTTTGGCAGGTCAAGCTAGGACCACCTTTCCATTTTTCACCTTGCATTGCCCCTGGAAATAACAACGGACACCATTCTCTGTAGAGTATAGTACTGACATTGGGCATTCGTCGATTTGCCAGGCGTGGTCCTCTCATCTGGGATGCTGGGCTCCATTTGTGCATAATTATGTGCTGGCGAAGATCTACCCCAGAAGGGTAGGTCTTTTAATGAAAGGATGTAGCTGCGAAGACACGTGTGGAAGGAATTTCGAAATGTTGTGCCTTGGTTTCTTTTCCTGTTTTGTGTGTGTGTGTAATTTGGGGAAGGGGGGGCGTAAAGCTTTTATTTCTTTAGGCGGTACACGCTTGCATATTGAGAGTCAGCGGTGTCACCAGCTGACTCCTCGATATGTAGCCGATGGCAACCTGTCGCAGGCCCGGTTTTCCATGCTTCCTTACGGGAGACATGCTTCTTTTCAAAACTGTTTCCTGGGTGGGCCACGTCATGTGAAATTTCGAACTTTCGCTACGCGTTTTGCTTTGACACCGCTTCATCGTTGACCCCAGGTTCGTGCCTCAACGGCAGCAATAGCAGTTCTAAGAACGCGTCGAAGCGGGGCGATATCTGGCGCGGTCTTCAAGCAAGCGTCCTTCAAGGTCAGGGAAATCACCGGATCCTGGGAAAGTAGCTCCATTGCCTTTCCTGTCTGGACACAGATACTGACATGCAGACGTCCATACCTCGCAATGGGATTGGCTGATTGGTTTTCTTTACCATTACGATCGCCATTTCTGTCCATTCAAATTTTCGAAGCCTCGAATGGGTCATTCCGAACCAATCTCGCCAAGATCGCTATGGAGCATACTACTGATACAGTTTCTCGCCTTTATAAGCGTCATTGGCACTCAAGGAGCTTATCAAGCATGCTTATCTCCACAGGTCTCTTACAATATTCCGAGAACAATTATTTTTCAATGGCACTAAAGGCTTATTCACACGATGCATCCTTTCAACGCGCCACAGTTTAGCGAAACCAAGCTTTCGCGAAATCGACCTGTTCACGCGTGGAGTTTGACGTGCGAAACCTGTGACGGGTATTGACTCACGAGAATTTCGCCAAACCTTGTCATCTGTATCTGGAATACCAAGCGTTTCGCATCACAATGATATGAAGTGCGCACAGTATAAAGAGACAGTCTGTTTTATTAATACCACTCAATGAACTTCGTCAGATTCGGCTCACTGGGTTTACTAGTCCTGCCAAACCCGGGAAAGACCGCGAACGTCAAAGAACAGGCAGATGATCTCGAAGCATTTCGGACATTTTTGCACCGCTAATAGAGAAATTTATTCCCAGTCATCATGTTTATATCCGGTGCTTGCACTCGTCGCGACTATTGATGAATCTGCACCGCGCCACCAACCCGTACTGTAGGCGCCGTTCACACACCTTCAACCGAGTAGGACCAAGACTCGTCCATAGAGATGACTCGTCGCCCGTACGCACCGCTTCTCCCCTTGTCGCTCGCCATGTTTGTTTATTTTCTTTCGGCTTGGCTCGGATACGAAATCGGCCGAATATCAGACTCCTCCAAAAGCTCGCTCCTCCTCGAAGGTCAGACGTCATAGCAAAGTCGAGCGGCCATTGGCAGCGCCCGCGTTTCTCCTTCGGGTGATTGACAGGCCTCAGTGAGATTTCAGCGAAAAATTGCTCCAGAAGCGAGGAAGACGCGCCACTTTTTTCGGAGGCGCGCCACTTTTTTGGTCGCGTTCAGACGGGGAATCTAGCTGTTTCGCGAAACCTAGTTTCGCGACACAAGATTCGCCAACAAGATGCATCGTGTGAATAGACCTTAAGCACCGACGTCCCATGCGGTGGCGGTGGAAAGATGTGCGCTTGTTTCGCCGGTGTGTGGATAACAAACTGTCGGTATTCAAGAAACGTCTTTATAAAGCAACCTGTCACGAGGAATTGGGATCGACTCCCCAAGAATGGAAGGTTAAGGAGAAGCTGTTCATCCTACGAACCAAAATGGTGTTTGTACGGGCATTTTGGCGCCGTTTTCGCCGTACCCAGCGACTTTAGGTCGGAGCAGACGCTGTGAGCGTGAAGTGCGCACGACCGGGACGAGACACTTTTCTTTGGTTATGTTTGTTTCTTTTTTCCACAGTTGATACCGTCTGGACGGCGGAGACGCTGTCATCGGCTTAAGGCCCGTTCACACACTTGCAAACGACTACGACGGACTGAGACAAGACCGGTTTTTAAGCCTCTCGCGAAGGCGTAAGGGCGACCGCACACTTGCGTCGAGTTCGATTGAGTGAAACCGCAACGGCTTGTGACAGACGGTTGGCTATGACAACCAGAGGCCGGCATTTTAGGTTGCCCTCGCTCACCCTCACTGCCATACTCACTTAAGCCCCTTACGCTCACCCTCAGCCCCTCCCGTACCCTTACAGCTACACTCACTTTCGGACCTTCACTCACCCTCACCGTCCTCATGGCCCTCACGCACTCATAGCCCCCCACGCTCACAGCCCTCAGCCCTCACGCACTGATGGCCCTCACGCACTCATGCCCCTCACGCACTCACGGCCCTCATGGTTCTCGCACCCCTCACGCACTCACGGCTCTCACACCCCTCACGCACTCATGGCCCTCACGCCTCTCACGTATTCACCGTCTTCACGGCTCCCACGCACTCATGGTCCTCACGTTCCTCACGCACTAAGGCCCGCTTCAGACGGAGCAATTTCACCCAGCAATTTGACGTCGCAACACCAGCAACACGGGCCACCCGCGTTCGCACGCAGCAACCGAATTGCTCCGACTTTCCATCATCATCATTAAATTTGATTCTTTTTTCACTATTTTGACGCCCAGCTACGCGCTAGAAACGCGTAGCTGGGCGTTTGGAATGGATCGTTCCGAAAACGATCCATTCCAAACCAAAACGAAGTCTGTAGCTGTCATCATCACCACCACAGGGGTGTCACGTTAAAATATCGCGCCTCTGATGGGCTGCAGCCGCTTCAACCGTCTTCGAATTGCTCCGAGTTGCTCGCTTGTTCGAGCCGGACCCGATCTCAGCGATTCGCGTCGATCTTGGGAAAGCTAGGGA